TTTTTTTTTTTTTTGGCTTTCTCAGACAAGGTCTCGCTATGCAGATCAGAGGGGCCTTGAGCTCACTTTGTAGCCTAGGTTGGTCTGGAACTCTCGACAATCCACCTGCCTCAGCCTCCCGCGCGAGTGCTGGGATTGCAGGCGTGCACCACCATGCCTGGCATTGTTGTTGTGTTTTTTTGAGGGTTTTTTTGGTTTTTTGGTACGGGTAATCGAACTCACGACCTCACGCCTGCTGGGCAGGCGCTGTGTCGCTGAGCTACATCCCGGCCCTCAAGCCCAAAGGTAACTTTGGGCCCACACCAGGCCCAGTAGAGGAGCCTGATCTGACCCCAGCCTGTCTCTAATACCCAGGCAGCAGGCCTCTTCCTACAAACTAACTGCACATGGAAAGGAACCGCGGGTATGGTCATTGCTATCAAATCCCCCAAATCTTTATTTTGTCCCTCATCCTGGGTTAACTGCCCTCTAGGGCAAAGGACACAGAAATGGGGGCTTTAAGAGGTTAATTATTAACCCTTTGTGCCTCAGGGGACCGCAGGCTTCTTTCCCATCGTGGAGGCAAAGGACACCACAGTCTCTAGGCCATGAGGGTCGCGCTGCCGCCCCCGGCTTTGCGGCGCTGGTTCCGACACGCAACTGCTCTCGCTATCTTCGTGCTGATGGTTTATCTGAGCGCTCGGATCCTCCGTGAGTGGCCCTTTCCCTCACCCGCTCAGGAAAGAGCCCAGCAGTCCAATCCTTGGGAACCCAAGCCCCCTCCCGGAGCCCTGACCCGGAATCCGCTTCGCTGTCCCCAGGCGCCCTGTCAGGCTGCAGGCCCGGGGCACAGTCCTGCACTCCGGAAGGACCGCTGCCCTTGCAGGTACGCTGGGGGCACGGCTGGGCCTGGGAGCTCCAGACAGAACCCTGATGGGGGAAGGGAGCCATCCGAGGATCTGGTGACCAGTGGGTCCTCTCCCTCATCTTCCCGCTCCCATCAGAAGCTGCAGGAGAGACCCGAGCTAGACCCTAGAAACAGTTTCTTCAGAGCCCGGCGGGGCTGCTGGCTAAGCAGGCCCAGCGGGCTAGCGGCTCTGCTCCTGCCCCCTTGCCCTCGCGTCTACCCCCAGGTCCAGCACAAGTCGGGACTCCTGGGGGCCGCAGGGTGGGAAGAGCCTCAGTGTCTGGGACCTCAGGGAATGCTGGGCCGCATGACCAGGTCCTTCCGAGACAGTCTGAAGCCCAAAGGGGATGTGGAGCTGTCGCAGTACCTGGCAGGATGGAGGGAACTGGTCAGGTGAGTGGTCTCCCTGCCCCACGCCAGCCCTCGCCTCTTCCTCTCCGCGGCTCCCTCGCCCGCTCCCACACCCTCGCCACCTCCACCAACCACGCAGGTTCCTAACTCCCCTGGGCTCCGCCGTGGCTTTCGCCGCCAGCGAGGCCTTCATGAAGGTGACAGCCCTCGAGGCTCGCGTGCAGGGCCCGGACGCCGCGCACTACACGTCACTGGCGACCATGGCCCCGTGGGAGCGGCGCGCGGGGCTCCTG